GTGGTTTTTAGGGGCTAGGATGTCGGGTTTAAGGTTTAGGTCAAGTTTTAGGGAGTTTAGGGCTTAAGGTTTTCAGCTCAAGGTTTAGGTAGGGTTTAGGGTTGAGGGAATCTACATCGGGCTCGGGCTTGTATTCTGGGCCTTGGCGGCAAAGCTTGCGAACCATATCCAGAGGCTCAAAGAGAAAAAGCAACAGAGCTACAAACTCCTAAACCGGAATTCTGAAAAATACGCAACCGAAACCCGACAATAGAAGTTATAGGGCCCAGACCCGCCTGGACGTCTTCGCATGACTCCCACGCTTACATCCCAAAGCCATACCAGGGATGCCACGCCAAGAATAAAGAATAAAAACTCACTCAGGACTCAGGACAGTAGCAAACCCTACATGCTGAAGTCCTTATTGCCAACAGCATCCAACAAACTCGGACAAGAGGCCTGCTAAGTCCCGAACGCCGATTTGGGGTTTCGGGAGCAAGCCCAAGGCTTGTCTTCTGGCAACTACCTATAGTCTCCACTGTACCATAGTACTTCCTTTCTGGGGGTTGCCTTAAAGGATCCTACATATAAAATTAGTTAAACAAAAAAAGGAACTACAATGAAGACTATAGGAAGTAAGTTTAGCTTTTCTGGTTCAGCCCTGCACTGCCCCAAATCCAACACACCATTGAAGCGGCTGCGGGCTTGGGGTGCATGGTAGCCCTTCACCCCCTAAGTGCCCGGACACCCTGTTCTCCACAACACCTGGAACTTGGCCCTAATACCACACCTTGGTCATTCCTGTAATAGAACTACACAAAAACGAAAGACCTAGAAACCTAATTACGCAAGGGGCCGCGGCCCGGCGCCGGAAGGGTCTCCAGCCGTTTCCCTTGGCTGCTTCGTAGTGGCAGAAGGCTCTAGGCGTGAGGGTCAAGGGTCGTGGCTGAAAATCCCGGGTTGAAGAATACATAGCATGCATGTCATGTCAGGTTTGGGGATTAGGGCCAGGGTTTGAGGGGATTGAAGGGCTTCAGGGTGCTGCAAGTTTCGGATTTAGGTTCAGGTCTTCTAAGAGGGTCAACAAATACAGGGTTCAGGTCGGCGGTTCAGGTTTCAGCGACAAGATACGCACGACGACAGGTTTAGTCTCTAAACTTGCAAACAGAGGACTAAACCAATTGCTCTTTCTGGCAGGATCCTCATCATACGGATCCCCAACAGAATTACCCTTAGCGCTCGGGAGGAGCATTGCCAGGGAACTTTACCTCAAATTCTTGCTAGCTTCAGCAACAGTGTCTTGAAGTGCAGCAAATGTTCCTTTCTTTCTGCTAGCTCGAAAGAGCTTCATGGTAAACCCTTACTGTAATATCACCCTCTGAAACCCGAAAGAAACTCACGTTTTACAGCCAAGGACTTTGGTACTGAAGGTGCGTCCTACGATCAACATTTCTCGTGACAACTTCAGGTGGCTACCACAATGGCATGGAGTTTTCCTGTGGCAGAAAAGGCAACGCCGTTGCACCTCGACTTTTACATACATACATACATACAGAAAGGCAGGCAGGCAGACAGACACACACACACACACAGAGACACACACACAGACACACACACACACACACACACACACACACACACACACACACACACACACATATGCACACATGCATACACATACACACGCACATACACACACACACACACACATATATATATATATATATATACACACATATACATACACATACATACATACATATATACCTACATACATACATAGACATACATACACATACATGCATGCATGCATAACTACATGCACTAAGAGTGTGTATAAGCACGCAGAACACACAAAACAACTTTGAGGCTTCCGTTCTGGAGTGCACAGCCCTGTAGACTCGACACTTCGCCCTAGGTAGGTTCTGGAGGTCCTAAACTTGCACCAGCAGTTGAAACAGCTAAAACCTCACCTCAGACTCGGAAGAGCATACCACCCTTTATGCAATCCGATGAAGCCCGTATGATCCCGTATGAAACCTTGCGAGCCACGAACCGCAATGATAACTTTCCAAAGCACACCCGGTAGTCAAGCGAGGGACCATGTTCACATGACTCTCGCAGCTTACGGAGCTCAGATTCGGACTGGGCCACCTGCAAACTGCAAAGATCAAGAAAACAATGGGGTTGATACGGCTTTCGGGCAAGTTGCGGGCCGGGGTCATGTTTTTTCTCATGACAAAAAACATGTTTATGGAAAAAACATGTGTGGTGATTATGCGGAGGACTTGCATAGAGCATGCTGGAGCTGATTGCTCTACATTTGGTGCTTCCAGGCCTAGCCTTGACGGCTATACGGTTACCTAGACCCTCCAAAAGTAGGTAAAATAATGGCCCGAAACCTATAAAAGGCCATTATTCTACATACTTTTGGGGTCCAGGTACACTTCTATGGAACGTGGCCTGTCATTCGCTTCCCGCTTCGCTTCGCTTCTAGACTGCTCCAAGGATCCTCCTCAAAGCTTTCCTCCGATGTCCCCTCGGAACTATTGACGTTTATCATTACATTACATTACATTACATTACTGCTGCTGCTGCTGCTCCTACTACTACTACTACCACCACCACTGGTATGATTACTCTTATTACCAGTCTTTGTATTCCCCTTCTTGTTGTTAAATTATATCAGCATTCAGTCGTTCGTTCTTGTATTCTGAACCACATTACCTGTATGAAACCTCACTGCCAGTAGCATGTTGTGGAAGCTGGGACCTCTCTCAGTCGCTGTGCGGGTTCACATGTCATTGTGTTGTCGTCAGTCCGTGCCGATGGGCACGCACTCTCAGGCAGGGTGGGCGGCAAACCAAAATGAGGCTCGTCCTGACTGCCACACGACAGATGCATGGAGCTTGAGCATGATGATATTAACCATATCGAAATATGGGCAAGCTTAATAACATGACAAACAAGCATAATACTGACAATGACAATAGAAAGAACGGAATACACAGAATAGCGATCTAGCCAAGCACATATCGAAAATATTTAAGTGCTCAACACTCGCTAGCGATCGTACAACACGTTGCAGGTCGGGGGGGTCGTCAATGGTTCGGTTCATGTCGAGGAGGAGGTTCCGGGGAGGATTTCAGGATGACTTGCCATGTACAATGTTCAAGTTGACGGATACCAGCATGTATTACTTGCACACTGACGGATAGCAACAAACAACTAATCTCATTATCTGGAGGATGGAAAACAAAATTGCCTCTCGCGGAGAGAATGCTCACAGCAAATTACAGAGGGAATCGTCACTAGACTGAGGTACTTGTGCTCTGGTCGCACGCACTGTGCCCACGACCCTCAACCTGCCGGTTTACTCAAAGCTTCATGGGAAGTTATAAGTGGGGTCATAAGTAAGGTAACCATACTTGTAACCCATAATAGGGGACTTATAACTTGTAACATCTTATAACTACCCATGAATCTCCTTGTAAGGTCAGGGGATAGCATCGCCTGAAGCAAGTTCTCGACGTCCTCTGGCGCTGGCAACGTCTTCTTTCCTTGAGGGTTTCAGGTGTAGTTGGCTTGACAGGAAGCAGAGACACCAAGTACCTTCTGATCAGGCCCAGCTTGTCCCGCACTGCCGTAGACAGCAGGTAACCCGTGTAAGCAGAAGGATTGAATTTAAGGGTGGCAAGCGGGAAAGTATGCACCTCCCTCAACGACAAAAAGAACATTCTGGAATCAGGTACGAGCATCTCGAAACACAGTAAAGCAGGAAAGAAGTCTGGCAGCCAGAGGTGGCTAGTCAGAACCTATCAAGTCCCCTACGACCTGAGCCTCTAGGTAGGGATACCCTCTACGACCCTATGAAACCCCGTAAAACAAACCGGATAGAACCCCTATGAAACCAGAACATCAACACAACTGAACATCGAAAACCCTACTCGAGCTTCTGGTGCCACCAGGCGTCGGTCCAACTGCGTCATTGCAGCTCTCCACAAGATTCCCCTAGCATTCGTGGCGTTTGTGCTGGCCGGAACATCACGGAGCTCCTGTTCCGGAAAGTCTAAACCCCTAAACCGGGGTCCAAGTCATGAACTTGAATCCCACCGGTACCCTAGGCTTCGGACAAGGCTTCGAAACACGAGGAGTCTCGGGGCCAACAGCCCTTTCGAGCTGAATTTTGTTTTCTTGCAGTTTGGTACCTGACAGCAACTACTTGGGGGCTCAGGGGACTTAGTAAGTAGTTAGTAAGTAGACTTATAAGTACCCTAAAAGGGACCCTAATTGGGGTTATGGTACTTATAAGTCCCTAAAATAACCAGTTACTAAGTCCCCCGACCCTCCAAGTAAAGCCTGCAGCCTAAACCCTCAAGCCTAAAACGACATATGTGGAAGTCCATGGATGTTACACGAACTGTAGGAATGCGGTGAAGAAACTTCGGATTCCTATTCTTGAGTCTGGTTTTGGGGATTCAGATGCTCCTGTGGTTACATTACACCCGACCCTTTTTTTTCAACCCGTGATGAGGCCGATGCGACCCGGATGCCCAAAACCGAATCCTAAACACCCGAAACCCTAAACCCCTAAACCCTAAACCCCTCATCACCTCGTGGCTTCACTTGAAGGCCTTTGTCATGCCGGCGTTCCCACAAGGATCTTTTTTAAGTGACCCTGCAAGGACTTCGAGACAGGTCCCTACAAGGTGGGAGTGCAATTGGAAAGGCAAGGATTGTCTCCCTATAAACTTAATAAAAAAAACCCAAACCCTACACCTGTTAACCCTAAACCCTAAACCAGAAAGATCGGGATTTGGACCTTGTTTGCAACCGGATTCGGTAGGTACGCTTGGAGTGTGTCGGCAGACGTCTGCCTGGATTTTGGGATGTATCCTAACGCCCCATAGTAGTGCCTTTTTGGGCTTCATATTTAGAATCTTATGAGATAATCCCAAAAAGAACTACTATGGGGCCTCTGGGTATAGGGCTTTGGGTTCAGAGAAACGCAACAGCCACTGTCAGGAAGGCTCCTTGATCAAGGAGCTGATGTCTTTGAAGGAAAATTCGCTGACATGGCTGCAGCCGCTCAGGAAATTCGTAAACTCCTCCACTGCTGGTGCATCCTTCACACGAATCATCGCCAATAGCAGGGGCGCAATGTCATCCTTCGGTGAATTGCGGAGCTCATTCTTGAACCACTGCCTTTGATATTCGAAAGCATACGGGAAGAACTGTGCTTGCCAGCATGATTTCACCATCCTGGACCCTCCTAAATTCTAAACAACATACACATAGCTTTCCGAACGAAAATCAAGCTGCTTTGTACGCAAGCTAGTGAGGAAGCCGTCCAGTAGCTTCGGGAAGCCAACATCCTTGAATGCCTCAACGGTCCGCATGACGTGATCTCCTTGGCTTTGGCATCACCAACACTAGGATGCCCAGTAACCTAGGAATAAAAAGGGCTGCCTATGTTGTATTGGGTAACTGTATAAGGAACCAGGGACTACAAAAAGGGAACAGGGGTACTACTGGGCATCCTAGAACACGTTTACTACAAGGTGCTTTCTCTCACTCTCTCTCTCTCTCTCTCTCTCTCTGTCCCCTGTCTCTTTCTCTCGCTCTGTCTCTCTCCTCCTCTTGTTGTCTCTTCTCTCCACACGTCAGCTCCCTCCCAGAATCAGGCACGCAACACGTGTCAGCTTTCTGTCATGTAGGCCATGATAACTCGTACAACTCGAACTCAATAGCCCTCGCCATGCACATCGGACATTTTGACACTTTTTTGAACGAGGTCTCTCTGAAGTGCCTCCCGATAAACCCTAAACCCTATAAACCCTAAACCCTAGTTCAGGTTTCCACGCGACCCCTCGAAGCTCATGGCTTTTCCACGAGCTGGCCCGGGTCAAGGTTTCGGCAGGTTTTGGGGTTCAGCTTCGCTTTAGGATTTAGGGTTTAGGCCTAACTTAACTTCCAAGTTTTCGGGTTCCGCGATTAGGTTTCGGGTTCACAGAAAGGTCGTTAATAAGGATGGACACTTCAGTTAGATTCCTGTCCTGCACTAGACCCAAGGAAGTTATGGGTCCAGTCTCCGTGCAGCTCTCTACATTATCGAAAAAGGTCCATACCGTGTTTCGACTCTCCCGCTCGCTCAAGGCAGGCAAGGCTCCAGGGAACGAATGCTTGACATAGGGTTTCGGGTTTCGGGCTTAGGTTTCTTGGTAAGTTGGGGCAGTCTGGATGCCATGCAGCGCGCAACAGCGCCTGGATGTTTGTATACCAGCCACGAAAAGCCACATGTACGGCTTCCAGCCCCCAACGGCCCCGAAACCTGCAACCTTTGATGATGTACATAAGCGCACGGGGCCAACCGCAGGTTTGGCATCATAAAAATACCTGGTATCATGGCATTGAGCCTTAGTAAGGTGTAGGGATATAGCCTCAAGTTTTTCTGCATCAGGACTTGTGCAATCGCCCAAGCCCGAAATCTTCAACTCCTACTCCTGCAGGTTTTGGAGCTTCAGGTTCGAGGCCAAGAGTCGTTTGAATTTGGCACTCTTCTTCACCAGCTCGGTCAAGGCCGAAGCAATCTTTTTAAAGAGGGCCTTTCGCCGAGACTTCATCAGGGTTTCGGGTTTACAGGGTTTAAAAGTTTCCAAACACTCCATAACTCTAGCATGGGGCCGCACAGTGTTTCAGAAATCCTCAGGCTGAGAAGCTAGGATGCCCCGAAATCCGACAAATACATATGCACTAGGGTTTAGGGGTTTAGGGTTGAAACACAAGAACAACGAAACGAACACGTCAAGACATGGCGATTCATGGCTCGATAAGCTTCAAGCAGGCGGGTACCTGCGCCACACACTGTACCACCGAGCAACCTACATCTGACCAGCAAGTCTAATATATCTCTAAACTCCAGGCTCCACCTCGAGCAAGCAAGGTACCTTAAAAAGAGATACATGTACCGATTGTTTAGTGTTACTCTAGGCAGAGCTTCGACTGACACAGCCGGCACACTCTTCTAAGCCTGAGTCTTCTACACATTTGATGGGATTTTAAGACTCTTGGGGTAGGGATTCCTTATCATGAACCAGCCCTAATCCCTACTGAACCCCCATAGGCCAAAACCCCTTTTGGCCTCCTATGAATATTTCCTGATGTAGCACTGTAGCGGCCTTGATAATAAGAACCTTTTTGTTTTGAGGGGGTGGGACCGGTACGTTCTACTGAACTTATCAGAAGGGGCCCTGTGGAAGAAACCTTTCTTCGGGCTTCTACATCGCCCGCCAGAGGGGACCGTGGTCCCAGGCTCTGTATCAGTCTTAGGATTTATAGGTATTCAGGTTCTGAGCATCAGTTCTGATACGAAGCGCTTAAGGTCTAAGCTTTGTCGGATTCAGCAACAGCCACAAGATATCCGGTAGCTCCTTTCCCCTTGCTTCTGCCTGCCCGTTCCTGTTTGTGCATCCTGTCCGTCCACCAGCAACCCCACCACCACTGCGACAACAACAACCACAACAACGACAACAATAACAGCAGCAGCAGGCCCACCGAACATCCAAGACCTGCACAAGCAAGGCAACAACAACGGCAACAACAAGAGCTGCACCGTGAGTCTTGAACGAAACCCCCTTGCTTGATTTATTGGTCGCTTAATGGGACTTATAGTAGGGCCAGGAAGAATCGCAATGCTGAACACTCTGCGGTCCTCGCTTGCGACACCAGCCATTCGGTAGGAGGTGACCAGCGCAGCCAAGATCATCACAGTCCAGCCCGTCTCTTCTTTGAAGTCAACTGGGATCCGAATTCAGCTACTTGGGGGGTCGGGGGACTTGGTAAGTAGTCAGTAAGTAGACTTATAAGTACCCTAAAAGGGACCCTAATTGGGGTTATGGTAGATATAAGTCCCTACAATAACCAAAAGTAAAAGCCAGAAAGTTGGAATATGATTATCCGAAGCCCTTTATGTTCAATTATAAGGTATCCTACCCTGAAACCATATTCCAACTTTCTGGAGTTCCCTTTACGGTTGAGGCTTGCAGGGTGTACCTCGATTCTGGCTTCTATTACCCGTTCTTGTGTATCTGAACTTCTTCTCAGGGAATCCTGACCATCATTAACAGGTTACTCCCTCACGGATTCGTCAAAGTGCTACAAGCCGGGACCAGATAAAGTTTACGTAGAAATCAGCCTTGGGGAGTCGGCGCTGTTGAGCGTTTCGCCTGCACTTAGACTCGACCAGAATCCCAAACCATAAAACGTAAACCCCTAAACCCTGAACTTGTCAGACCGCAAAATTTATTTGACGTTTACAAGCTTGGGGATTGGAAGAGCTCTCGGCTTGTTGCCGGGGGTCTTTTCGATTAACTACGGCCAATGTATTATGGTACCCGTCTAGTAACCTGAATAGAACCCTTGTGACACCCTTTACAGGAACCCTTTTCTAATTTCGGGGATTAATTCCAGGAGCACTTATCACTTCCAGAGCTCCAGCGTCTTGCAGCTAGGCATTGAGGGTGCGTTGTCTGAAGAGTTAGTCTGTCTCCGCCTTTTGATCTAGAGCGCTGGCTGAGAGTCTACACTTCTGAAAACATGAAGCCTTTGAAACATCCCAAAACAATCCAAAACCCAGCCAATGACGCCAATGACTCCAAAACCTCAGGCTCGGAAAACCCAAAATCATGGACATAACCAATCAAACCAAACGCACAAAGAAATAATGCCCCAAAGCAGACACTTACAAAGCATTTCCGGGATCTACAGAAACGCCCTCGATATCTCCTACAATCACAATGCCCTTTGAAAATCCGTTCATAGAGCCAGTAGGTTTAGGGTTTAAGGTTCCAGAGACCAGTCTACCCCAAACCTGAGACTAGGTAACCGTGACAAAAACACAAAACCAACACTAGCATCATGGGGGTTATAAATGTCAAGTCTATACTGAACTTAGAACCCTAGCAAACTTATTTTCAGCTGTTTCTTAGGAATAAAAATATTTCAAAGTACCCCTAAGTTTATAAACCATGTCAAGTGCAACCGGGAGTCGACTGCATAGTAGCTCCGAGAGCATTTGCCTGGGCTGCAAAACCTCCTACGAGGTGCGATGCAAGGTTTTTCCAGGGTTTACTGGGCCTCCAGGTGCGCTGTTGCAGGGTCTAGGGTGGAAGTTGTTCAACGGTATTTGGGCTTCCGCGCGTTCTCTGGTTTATATATCTTTGCTTTGTTCTTTGTTTACGGGGTGTCGTGTGGCGTTGGACCACGGGTTCACGACCAGGGCATGAGATGCAAACTAAGTGTAGAGTGTCAGGTGACTGTACAGGTGGTAACACTGCGAATACTATCTGCCTTGCTCTACGAGCAGAGGTTGGTTCTGGGATTTAATTTTATGTAGACTTCATGTGCGAAAAGCCTAGCAAAGCTGCATGACGACTGGTGTCGGGTGGGCTAGGCTGGCTAGGTGTTTCAAGTTTTTTGTAGTGATTTGCTTATGTGGCTACATTGTTCCTGCCGTGGACAGGACATTGGTAGGGTGGAGGTGTGGGCTTAGGTTGCGGGATGTAGGAACCCATGCTTTTTTGCCACCCCGCAGGATGTATGCAGAGACTGCTATGTAAAGCTACTGACCCATACCCCGAAATCTGCTTGCTGCGAAGAATGGCACATCTAGCCCTGAAGCCTCAACTGTAAATCTTGAACCATGAATCTTGAAATCCTCACAGAGCAAATGCCAAGTGACAGGGCCGGCTTCACTGAGGGCTCGCGGATCTGTTCGAACTCCTTAGGAAGCGCACAACGACCACGTTGAAGTCGAGGAAAATTCTAGGAATGAAGGTGTGGGCATTATAGCCTTGGGATGAGTGCTAATAGTTTGGGATACCGCAGAAGTCAAATCGCCGGATCAACAAACGGAGTTTGGGCTATATGGCCTTGCAACGGCATTCAGGGTTTACGGTCCCAAAATACTGAACCAATGACCAGCTGCATGTCCGAAGTTGGCGAAGGTCCATACCAGCCTGTCCACTTCTTGTCATACGGTTGCTGATATAAATCCTCCATTACCCATAATACGGAACATACCGCAATTCCCGTAGTTTAGGGTCCTTAAGGTAATGCAGGATTTGCATCATCAACAGTAGGGTTCGTGAGAAGAGAAAACATTAAATGCTCAGCCAAACATCTATTCCAATACTGCTCATGTTCGTTGTCAGTCGCTTGTGCACCGAATCTCTTCACAAAAACTAGCCCAAATACGCGGACTTGTAGAGTACAGTGCTTCAGAGTTCCCGGCACTCTTCTCCAGGTGTACTGGCAACTACTTGGGGAGACTGGGCAGGTCCTGATCAAACCATGATCAAGACCCAAGAGTAACGTAGGAACAAAAAGGGTGCCCTTTTTGGTTTAAAGGGGTTTATAAGGGAACCTGAACCTCAAAAAAGGGAATAAGGGCATACTCTAGGTCCTAGTGATATTATTTGTGAAATCGTGACCCTTCTCTCGTCTTAGGTGAAAGCAGCACGGGGTTGTATCTGGATACGTCACTGCGGTTCTTTCCGATTCCAGATTATCTAGCTTTGTTGGGCCACCCACGAGTCAAGCACATGATGTATATAACGTCCAAAGCAATTGGAACAAAGAGACTTTGTAAATCATGAACAGCGTGTAGCCAAGTTTCACATTGCAGTAGCTTACAGAGCGGTCCGAGTTGCCCGATTCACCCATCCATTAGGAGGAGCCCCCGGAGGGATTGTTTTGCAACGAAACCTCTCATAGACATGATCTGCTTCGTCTGTGTTGTAGAACCCCAAGGGGTAAACCGCTATCAAGCTGAGAACTTTCTAAAGCCCTCAACCGACCCTGACCCCTAAACGAGGGCATCTCTTAGTGCTCAGATTTGCCTCCAAAATTCATGCTTTGCATGTGTGTGACACAATGGCAAACTTTCATCTTCTGCAGTTTACATAAAGATTGGAGCCTCTAGCCTGCTGGTATTACATATGAATCACCGTTGTTGAATTTGAAGCACTCGTGCTCTGGTATTTCGATCTCTGATTTACCCTAGGTCCGCCTTACTCACAGCTGGGGCACTGCAACAGGATATCATATATGTGTACGTGCTACCCACCGGACAGTTGCACACGTTCTTGCGCGGCTGCACCCATCCGAGGATGTGGTGTTTACCTTTTCGTGCAGAATTATTCGCAGATCTAAATCCAAACAAACGGCGAGAAGCAAGAAAATATTGGCATCCAGATAAGCTAGACTAGACAGAAGCCAGAAGCTTAAAGCCCAAGCAAAAAACCTTAAGCCTTAAACCCTAAAACAACCAGGCCACCACCTCAAGGGCAACACTTGTATCACAGCTTATATGAAACACACCACTCCAACCGTTGCCCACAAGAACAGTGTGATAGGATGCGGTCTAAAAGCTTAAAAGCCGAACCTCCGCGACAAATAATCATAAGCTTGTCTATGCCCAAGCCTTTTGGTCGGCCGTTGCCACAGCTTGCTTATCCTAAACTCTATACATGGTATCTCAACCATGAGCCCTAAGTGTCCCAAACCCTGCCTGTGCAGTCCCTGAGGGTCTTCCGGGTGGTTCTTCTGCTTCCTCGGGCATTCAGTTTCGTCTCTCACTCTGGCACAAGGCAGGCAAGGCTCCACACAAGTCCATTCTCAAGTAAGTAAAAACCCCAGGGTACCCCTGCGAGGCAGTGGTATTCGGTTTCGACACGCGCACTCGCACAAGGCAGGAGCGGATTGATGTGAGTCCAGCTTGCTACCGATTCGGTTAAGGTTTAGGTCTTTCACTCAAAAAGTTCAGACATGCGTTTAACTTGCTCACCAAGGCTCGAAAGACTTTGGGGCTAGGGCCTCTAGAATTCCTTCAGTCCTGTGGAAGAAACACAACAACCAGTAGAGCTGCTCCCTCTCACTATATCGTTGTCTGAACATATCTCTAGATTCATACCCCCTGCCACGGCCTGCAACTCCACTATCTAGATACGCTTGTAGGATGACGCCCGATTATCAACCCACTCGAAGCAGGAGATGTGGTTCGAAAAAGTAGAAAGGTTCGAGTTTTCAAGCTTTGGGTCCTGGAGCTTCGGGTTCTCGAGATGAGGAGTCCTAAGGGTTTAGGGTTTAGGGTTTAAGGTTTAGGGTTCCCTAAACCCTAAACCCTAAACCCTTTAGGGTTTAGGGTTAAACCACTGTTTGGTTGAGGGTTCTCAGCTGTGGATCTTTGTCCATGCTCAACCTAAACCCCGGTGCAAAGATCCCTCCGTCAAATAAACAGGGCCCACAAAGGGCACATAAGCAAACAAAAAGCATAGGGATATTCTGATGTCCACTTTGGGTCCCTAAATAAAAACAAAGTAATGTAGTCGCAACTCGGCCTGCAGAAACAGTGCCCACAAAAACACAGCGAAAGAAGTTGAATCTTGCAGAACGAAGATCACCTTCACGCCGCACTCTACTATATGCTAGCACAGTGTGTAGTTGGTCGTTCGGGCAAGGGATCACGGCGATATTCTTAACGAGTTGGTCAAACTCTCGACTGGTAGTCATTGAGTACAAGCATACAGTATTCTCGAGGCAACCCGAAATCCCGCCTTATCCTACTAGGCCCTACTGTCTTTCTTGTAACGTCTTTACACCCTCACAGAACAGAGACATTATGCGGATCCGCGATAACATTCGGTCTTTGTTGGTCAAGGTCGGGTGCGGGCACTCCAGCACCCAGTCCAACAAGCCTTCCCCCAAGCACCAACTCTGAATACTAAACCCTCAACACCACCTATAGTCTCCATTGAATAACTGGTTAGGACCCTACAAAACCAAAAGGAATTCTAGTGGCCTTAATAATTAGAATAGGGTTTTGGGGCCCATTATACTGCAATTATTGTAAGGAGCCCCCAACATAGTATTGGTATTTATCGAAGCCCCAATGTTAGGGTAATCAGTTTTCTGGCTCGGTCCGTATAAAAGGACTCGTTAAAGGATCTACAATGCCTAATTAGGGTTTGAGTCTGGCTCCTGGAAGTCAGTTTTGGGTTTAGGGTGGGGCCTAACATGTCAAGTTGCAAAGCCAGCTGGCAACTTGTTTTAAGCTTCTCGACAATCTGTGGAACCACACCATCTGCGTCCTCGGATTCTAGTTTGAAGTTTTGTGCTAGTTTAGGGGCCTCCAAATGTAGAAGAGGGTTTTCGTAGGTATCCTACAGTTTAAATATTTATACACAGGGACTGTCATATTGTGAATAGCTATTCAGGCCTCCACAGTACATGTTTCGGCGTTCGCACTCGAACAATCCAGGCGAGGCACGTGGTTCGAGGTCTGCTGAGTGAAACTGCAAGTGTACGGGAATGAATACACAACGCATGAGCCCAATAGCAATCTAGCTTAGCCCAAGGTCCATCCCAAATGACTCTTCCCACCCAACCCAGAGATCCCAATACCCCTTAATTAAGGAATCTGCCTTCAATCATAATGCTAAAGCCCCCCTATTATCTAAGGTTTTTTCCTTAATTGATTGGTATTGGGGTTTCCGGGAAGGTCCAAAAAATGCTGTGAAACTACGGTTGATGATATAAATCCTGCATTACCCACAATAAGGAAGACACCATAATTCCCGTAGTTTAGGGTCCTTAAGGTAATGCAGGATTTATATCCCTAAACCCTAAACCCTAAAGCCCCCTATCGATCCCTTAAAGGATCCCCTTAAAGGTACCCTTATAGATTCCTTTAAAGGAACCCTAAGATTTATACCATCAATCGTATTTAAGGGGCCCCCGGCTCGAAACACCGGGAATCCACAGAACCCAATACCCCTTAATTAAGGAATAGACCTTGAACTATAGGGGCCTCAAAATTATGATTTAAGGTATATTCCTTCATGAAGGGGTATCAGGAAACACCGGGAAGACTAGAGGATCATAGAGGTCGGGAAGGGCCCCAGGTCGGTTGCACGATCTACATGGGATCATCACGATTCCCGGTGGCTTCTGTGAATCTGCAGGGTGTATGTTGCAAAGACTGTGCTTCAACAAACGACGAATAACTAATTGAACCAACCATACCGCATAGCTTGTGATCACTTGGCCTACCTGTCAGCAAAACATGAATCACATGCTCAAAGCTTGATTTTGAAACGATCTATGCATTGAAATAGGTGCCCGCACTTGGCAAATTATGAATATGTGCTTAGGGTTTATGCACGGGTTTAGGCTGGCGGCTTTGGTTTCAGGCCTTTAAAGCTTTGCCGAAAATTGCTGTCTGTTTTTGCTGATAGCGCGTTCTTTATTGACGCTTCGCTTCAAACTTAACTGCAAACACTTCCTGCTAAAGGCCACGAATTCACGGATAGTGCAACCCTTGCACATGCACCTGCTTTCAAGCCGAGCTGCCTTGACTCCGACGCCTTCAGGCTTCCCATCTTGATTCACCTGGAGAAGATCCTACTTGGGGGGTCGGGGGACTTAGTAAGTAGTTAGTAGGAGACCTTATAAGTACCCTAAAAGTGACTCTAATTGGGGTTATGGTACTTATACGTCCCTGAACATAACCAGTTACTAAGTCCCCCGACCCCCCCAGGTATTAGATGTATACCGCATCTTGCAGTGTTGGCAACTTGTTCACACATACACTATACATTGCCATACATTGCTATGCTGCAGCGTGGCGGTGCTCGAAGAAAATGCTGCATCCGTGCGAAAACTGCAGAGTCACTGCAGAGGAACTACACAGGACATCCAGCTGTCTGAATTTACTTTGGGCATCTCACCTTAAAGGCTAAAGTTAAACTTGTCAAGCCGTAGACCACCAACCTAGGCCCAGGGAAAGCAGAACCAACAAAAACCCGAGTGCCAGCTCTCAAGCTGGGTTTCGTGGTTGAAGGTTTACCCAGGGGCCCCAAAGTAGTTCCTTTTTGGGTACTATATTAGAGTCCCTAATCAAAAAAGGGGACACACCCAAAAAGGAACTACTTTGGGGCCCCTGGGTAAAACCTGAATCCGAAATTTGGTGTGAAACGATCTTACAGCAAAGCTTTGACAGGTCAAGCTGTGCGAAACCGCAGGACCCTCAAAAATGTCAGCCCAGAAACCCCAAGCCCTGAATCCTAAAACCCCTAAACCGCTACAACAAGCCTCGACGACCCGACCTGCACAGGCAACCCACCCAGGTTTCGGGTTTAGGGTTTAGGGCTTCAGGTCAACATCTAACAGTGTAACAAAAAATGCAATACAAGGTATGTATAAGGTTCCCACTCTCAAGCTCGCACCAGCCAAGCAAGGTTTTAGGGTTTAGTGTTTTTTCGCCTCACGTGTTGCTACATAGGACAAGCCTGCACGGCGGTGCCGGGTTTAATTTCATGTTTAGGGGAAAGCAAAGACGCACATCGAGCCTAGAAAGACTCATAATAACGGTAGTGAGACTGACCTTGAGACTTGTCTCAAACAAGAATCCGAAGCTTGTCGTAAGTCGAATAAGGATGTGCTTTCCTAAATGCTTGGTTCAGGGCTTAGGTCAAGAACCCTAGAACCTAACCCGATAGCGGGAGACTGGAGTTTGAACAGGATTGGGTGCAGACATGTCTCTTTCGCTTCTGGCATGTACGGTCTGAAGGTGCTGTAGAAATTCGCGATGGCTTGGACAAACTCCGCGAAGGCATTGAAGGTGCTGTATGTCTTTGACATCACAAAACCAGCCGACATCTCTTGGAGTGCTCGATAACCTTGCCGCGCCACATTTACCACAAATATCCTACGGCAACAAAGACCCGAGGCAAGCGCGCAACAACCGTTGGATTCTCAAGACCTGCTGCAATTCCGACAAAGAAAGAATGGCTTTCGCTGGCTGTGCTGTTGGTGCACACATAGGCTAACGATCCACAATCACAAGTGGCATTTTCAGCGTGATCATCTCAAAGACACGGACCACATGAGTAGGACCTACTTCCTGTGGAAACCAGGCTGACACGCAATTGCAATCTCGCTGACGTGTACCCCTTCCCCCAACGCTACACCCACGCTAGTCAGTAGGGCGAACCGGCAACCAGTCCGCAGTCCTCCCTTATAGCACTAGCAGCGACATGACAATGCCGGCGGTGCCTTCTGGCAGCTGTTCTCCCAAGCACACTATGAAGACCCATGAAGAGTAGTACAAAGTACTAGCAACAACAGCAACAGAGGCAGTGGTAGAAGCAGCAGGAGCGGCCGGCGAAATAAAGCAGGACTACTGGTCCTCCAGCTCCTACTGCTGCTGCCCCCTCCTCCTCCTTCTCAATTCTCCTCCTCCTCCTCCTCCTCCTCCTACTACTTTCCGACTACTACTACTACTACTACTACTACTACTACTACTACTACTACTACTACTACTACTACTCCTGCTGCTACTGCTACTACTACTACTACTAGTCCTACTACAACTACAACTACTACTACAACTACAACTACAACTACAACTACAACTACAACTACAACAACAACAACAACAACAACAACAACAACTACTACTACTACTACTACTACTACTACTACTTCTACTCCTACTGCCACTCCTACTCCTACTCCTACTCCTACTCCTATACTCCTACTCCTACTCCTACTCCTACTCCTACTCCTACTACTACTACTACTACTACTACTACTACTACTACGACTACTACTACTTACTACTACTACTACCACTACTACTACCACTACGACGACTACTACTACTACTACTACTACTGCTACTACTACTACTACTACTACTACTACTACTAATTACTACTACTACTACTACTACTACTACTACTACTACTACTACTACTACTACTACTACTACTACTACTACTACTACTACTACTACCACTACTACTCATAATAATAATAATACGAATAATAATAGTGCTACTGCTACTTCTTACGTGCGACAACGACTACGAATAGCAGCAGCAGCAGCAGCAGCCGCAGCAGAAGGAGAGGAGCGGGAGCAGCAGCGTCAGCCGTAGCTGCAGCAGTAGCAGTGATAATATGGTAAGCCAGTAGTAGTAGTAGTAGTAGTAGTAGTAGTAGTAGTAGTAGTAGTAGTAGTAGTAGTAGTAGTAGTAGTAATAGTAGTAGTAGTAGTAGTAGTAGTAGTAGTAGTAGTAGCAGCAGTGCTGTAGCACCAGCAGCAGCACCACCACTACCGCCGACACCAGCAACTCTAGCAGAGCAGCAGGAACAGCTCCACAAGCAGCTTGTAATGGTTCCATTCAGCTTAATTTCTAGTTTATGAGTCTATAATAGCAGCTGAGCTTTGCAAGCGTGCTTAATGTCTGAAGACCTGTTCCGCACACCCCAGAGCCCCGGCCGAGCTCGATCCGAAATCGAATTACTTCCCTTTGGCAGCTGCTTGGATTTTACTGTCCGGGCCATTCGACAAACACACGCCTGGTGTTCTGACTCTACTGGGCTCACACAGTTCAGGCCAGGCACCAGCCAAAACGAAGCATTGGGGGATAATCTGCGGCTTCCTTGATTTAACCACCTCCGAAAACCTTGGCTGACTGCTGAGCTCATCCAACATCTGTAGCTCGAAGGCCTTCTGGATTTTTCACTAAGAACTAACAAACATGAAAGGCAGAACTGCAAATACCGGTCGAGGAACGGCCTGTGGATCATAGCCCTCAAGCTCTCCGTGACGACAGGAAGGAGAGACTTGCCCTTGCCGCCTTGTGTTTTCGCGTGGAAGATATCAAGGGCCGACACCTCGGTTCCGAGAAACCCTGAAGATCATGCAAGTCCTTTAGCCAAGCATCCTTCCCCGATATGGAACAAAGCATATCCAAATGGTCCCAGAAACTATTGAACGAGGCGACTTGGTTCAAAAATTGAAGATGAGCTGCCTCTGATAAGGTTTATGTATGTGTATACAGATGACATATTTATTTTTTAAACAGACACATGTCCGTGTATAGTGTATAGCCATGTGGAAACATGTATGAATTATGCCTGAAATAAAGCCCCAAACCCTAAACCCTAAACGTTAAAACCCAAACGCGCGTATTTCTCCCCGAACCTTCTGAGCCAGGTGGTACACCTACTCCGTACATTTGCCCAAAATGTCCCTGAAGGTTCTGCCAGCAACGGCGCTGCTACTCCTAAGGCTCTAAGGCGTGCTAAGAATCCTTCATTCACCCTCCCTGGACGCTCGACCCGCATCCTTCAGTCTATGTTGTGGTTCTGGTTTTGACAACCAGGTTTTGATCCTGCAGGTGTAGCAAACAGCAACCGGAGTGGAAACCATACGTTGCGCGTAATGTAGCTGGGTTTTGGTGGTAGAAACCTGCCCCCAAGAAAAGCTGTGCTGACGTTTGCAAAACAAACCTACCCCAGCTCGAAACCAAGCCTCAGCCCCTATCACCCCAACACCAGAAGTGTCCAAACTTAGGACGTCTATGCTGGTTCAAGGCGTCCTTCCTCTGCACCACAAACCTTGCACTGTAAGACCATGACTCCGCAAGCACAAGCCATAGGCATGCCAGTGGATTTAAACACCGTAGTTCCAGCTTTGAGGTGTAGCAGGGGAAGGGAATGGTTGGGCGGACTCAAACATTCCTGACGGCTTCAGGAGAGAAAAGCTGCCCCAGGACAAGAAAATGGGAGACCAGCAAGAAATTTCGAGTGCCAAGGGAAGGGCCGTTTTCACTTTAAGCGGTTTAGGGATTGGGATTACTAGGTTTACTGAAGGTTCGGACACTTGAAGCATCAACGAAATGAAGGCTCTCTTCGCAGCATCTGCTGCAAAGACCTCCGAGGTATGCAAGAACCTGAACCCTTCCCAAGATGTGCGGCAGAGTTGCGTGGATGAGCCGGAGAAGCGACTCGGCTTTGAATTTGTTGTCCTGGTGGGCAAGCGTCACATAATGCCCAGGCTTGTACGTGGACGCCATATAGACTTTAAGCACCACGAGGGCTTAGCGGAAGCCTGAACTAATGCTGTCCACCGAAAACCTGTGCAAAGCCCTGTCTGGGAGACAAGTATGTAGTTGCTACCTAGCCCCTACCTGTGTCACCGAAAGTATAAGCAATTACTGGTCCTTTGGGAAAGGGGCGTAAATGTCGTATACCGGAAATGGAAAGAAAGGGCGTCATTAGCGCACTTGTGAGAACGACAACAAAAAAGCGTAGAATGCTCTGCGAAGGGGCGTAAAGTCACCATTGCCGAACAAAGGGGCGTAAAAAGCAAGCGAAAAGCGTAGGTGCATAAAATTTGGCCACCTGCAGTGATCCAGGTACTGGTATCAGCCCTGGAGTCCAAATGTAAAGGCACTTGATAGGGAACTCTTGGATCTTCGTGCAAGTGCTTCGTCGCAGCGTCACCATCACCACCACAAGGGTGGAAGATGATACCGATCTATGCAATGTCACACTATGGTTGTACCGGGGAGCCACGAAAACCGATGAAGACCGGTCAGCAAGGTAATTTAAGTTGGTTGTGGGTTGAGGTCGACACACTGATGCAGTCGAGCTGCTGAACATGTTGCCTCGCATCTGACAATAGAGCGCATAAGGTGCGATGCGTGAAAAGGGATGATGTCCTTCCGGAGTCTGTCATTCTCCTTGTCCGGATGTGCTTTTTGGGCCATGGGGCATAGTTTGAAGATTGAACGGATGATACTTGGGCACTCAAGCCAGCAGCTAGTAGCCCTCTCTGAGCAAAAGACTGCATCTGAAACATCGCCATCGCCTTAAGATAGGGGCCTTCATACTTAGAATGGGGTTCTGGCATATATTATACTATAATTGCAATAAGGAACCCTTCGAAATAGTGTAGGTTTTTTCAAGCCTCTATGGTACTTTGACAAATGGACCTGATGTCTCTTGGTGCGGGACACAGGCGAAGAGAAACCCCGAAACCACAGAACCAGAAGCCTCTAAAGCTTACCGGGACTCCTTTACCCTGTCTCCGTAATCCTCTAGACCGCCATCGAAATTCGGGGTTCAAGATTCCCTGACAAACTGAAAGGATGTAAAGCAGGTCGACTCAGGGCCTGGAGCATGATAAGACTTGGGGGAGGGTTTAGGGTTTAGGGGGTGGGTTTCCGAGGGGAAGAGCCCTGGCCCGAAATAAGGGGTCTCTGGGTCCGGTGCGAATAAGCTGACGGCTATGGTTCAGGGTTTATAGGGTTTGGGTGTATACAAAATGCCACTTGCTTGAGGGATGACCGGTTTGGGTTGCAACATCATGGGCCGGGGAGTTCTTAAAGAGCATCAGATCAGTCCAGTCTTTCTGATAACATACACGCCTGGGACCTAGCGGATCTTCTGAAATTGGGGATTAACAACACCGATGTATTTCCGCTGTACATCAAACGGGAATGAGATTTTTTTCGGGACTTAGCCAAGTTCTACTTGGGGGGTCGGGGGACTTAGTAAGTAGTTAGTAAGTAGACTTATAAGTACCCTAAAAGGGACCCTAATTGGGGTTATGGTACTTTTAAGTCCCGAAAATAAACAGTAACTACGTCCCCCGACCCTCCAAGTAGGGCTCCAGGGGGTTAGGCGTCGTCAGGGTTTGGGCTCAAGCCCTGAACGGCTCGGGCGCCGATAACTATCTTTGATGTGCCGAGAGCATCGCGATTACAATATGGGAGTTTCCGAAGATTAGGGGTACCTTATTTGGGGGTCCTTATAGTAAGGATCCTACCATTTAGGATGCTAGATTCGGGTCCCCTATTTTCGGAAACTCCCATATAACGCTAAGCCCCGTGCACCAACAAGCAACGACCGTCTGAAACCCTGAACCCTTAAGCCGTAAACCCTCGAAACCCTTTTGTTACTGGACTCCGGTCTACCCCTTGAGCCCTGAACCGTCGACCCTACCGCTTAACCCGCAGGCTCCAGCACAAATACTAGGGAGAATTTTCTGGTAAGCCGAACGAAGAACTGTTCAGCGAGTGAACGAGACCATCGACAGGCAAAAGCTTAAACTCTGCAAAGCCTATTACTGTACCGGGGCTTAGCCAAACATGGGCCCCCTAGAAGACCTTCTTCATAGATCTACGCCAGGTTTATTTCAATCACCCGGGTACTTCCTTGTTGGGACTCGTCTAAGAGAGTTGGGCGAAGTAAGTATTTTTATCAAACGGTTTGCATATTCCTCACTCCGTCCAGCCAGCAGCCAAGCAGCTGTCTATACAGCCTACAACCTTTTAGGCATCAGGCCTACACCCTAAACCCTAGCCCCTAAACGCTACACCCTAAAATGCAATACCTCAGGCCTCGAAACCCTTTAGCCCTGAGCCCTCAGCCTTACAGCTTTGGACCTTAAGTCTTGTTTTCTCCAAGCTTCTCCAGCAGCTTGTTTGCCCGTCGCCTCTGGGACGAGTACGGCCAATACCGCCGCGGGACGGAATTTGTCCCAACTTTTCGTGTCTCCCGCCCTGTCCAGGAGCTGGGCAAGGGTTTCGACTCGCACACTCGCACAATCGCAGGCACGGCTTCAGGGTCCATTGCTACCGTTACGGCTGATTACCTGCCCCGCACCTAGTACATGCTGACAAAAGCAACAAAAGTTCATCAACCAAAGATCTGTAAAGAGGGAATACAACACCTGTAATAGGGCGGTGCTGGCGTGTTTCCCGTGGTGCTATGCTGCTGTAGCTGGGCAAGGGTTTAGGGTTTTGGAGATGCGAACCTATTTTGATTTCCACGGTAAATAAGCCCATTTTTTAACAAACAAAAGGCATTCGTGCTTGTTCTATAGGCCAAATACATAAGTAAATAAATCGATCAACTATCAAACAAATAAACAAATACACACCTAAGTAGATGACAACGAAACCACAACCAAACATGATTCAGTGGGTACTTATATATTACATGTTCTTTATATATATATATATATGCCTTTGTAACGGCTCTAAATTAAAATTGACGTAACTTCCTGAGGAACCCAACAGCTCCCACACCAGCGGTAGCCATTCACTCTTTGAAGGAAAGGAAACGCCTAGAACTGAGGGGTTGTTGTGCGGTTCAGGGTTTGGGTTTCGGCGCTCACACTCGGACAATCCAGGCGAGGCATATGGTTCGAGGTCCGCTAAGACTGTGAAAGAACATTAGCGAGAGGCTGGGTTTAGGGCTTGGGTTTAGGATTTAAGGTTACCCTAAACCCTAAACCCTAGAGCTTACAAGGTTCCTTTTGATTCTTCCTACCTAGCCGGGACCAGCCTGCAGAGCAGGGTATCTCTGAGACGACAGTTAAAAGTTAAACTACTATTTGCTTAAGAAACCACCAAAACCTAAGAATAATAACCCCCATATTACCCCCATAAGGAATATATTTTTTATTTTTTGGGGGTTCTTAAGCAAATAGTAGTAAAAGTCTTCAAGCGTGTTGCCCAAAGAAAAGCGGTTCAGGGCTTCGGGTTTCAACAGATTTGATCTATGTGCCGTTGGCGTCCGTGCACATCATATATCACAGAACTATCTGGAAAGCTTCAAGCCGTCGTACCCGAATGTTGACGCAAGCACGCACATCGCACAAAGTTCCGAAAGGCACTACAATGGAGACTGGAGGACCCTCCTATGTACTGCGCCCAAACAATAAACGTAAAGCCGCACTCAGTGCCCTGAACCCCGTAACTATCCACTACGCACAACGATCAAGCTTTAGTTTCAGCCCTCGCCGCCCTACCCGAAAGCCCAAAACCAAAGCCCCCGAGCCTGAGGCCAAGACGTTTAATGACAAAACCGACAGTAATTATGAGCCCTTGCCTTATGGGGCCCGAAGTACCCAACACTCCGGGACCTTTATTTAAGGTATTTTGCAGTCTGTTGGAGGCTGGGCGTTGTTCTAATTTTCAAGGCGATCCTGAGGAATACACTTCCTTAAGCCAACACGGAAAAAACTGTAAAATCACTGAAAAGGGACAGTAACTTGTAAGAACGGTGGCCAAGAGGCTGGACCAAAATGGCGCACAGCTCCTTGCTTGCTGTCTCAAGTTGCTGTTGCATTTGCGTACTCTTGGTTGCTACAGGCTTTACCAGAGTCTGTGATTATTGTACGGATGGCTTCACCGCATTGACAGGGTTGAGCAGGCTTATAATGCTTCAAGGGCATGCATAGGTTGGTGCCGCTAGCAGCAGGATTCCTGCCTTCGGGTAGCTGTGCAGGACTCTACGCCGCGCGGCTTTCGAATGCTGTAGATGGCTTCGGGCTCAGTCAAGGTTTAGGGTGGCTTAGACATCGCAGCTCAAAGGTGCAAGGTGTGGGAAGCAAGCAGACCGTCGGTAAACCTCATGCGGCTAAATAAATGCCGCCGCAATCGTAAAAAGCGGGGGATCCGCGCCAGTCTGGAAAACAAGGCTTATCAACCCCCAGCACTTCATCTGTTTTGCGACGTTCTTCGCCTGAACCGTGCAGCAACAACACCCGAAGCAAACCAAAGTAGTCAGTTCGCAACTGATAAGGACGACGAGACCACATGCTGCTCCCTCAGCCTGTCTCTACGCACTTTTTGTGGTTCTCCCCATGCTGCAGCTTGAAGCAAACGGCTACATTCCCGGACCCGTGAGATGGTGAATGCTCACGCATTCGCTTGCGAGCTCTGCGGCCCGCGACAACTCAACCCCCGCACCTTGCGAGAGACCCTTCTGGGAATCAAACCACACAACATAATCGCCCTGGCCCCAAAACCTAACAAAATCTGCTAGCATCTGGTCTGCAGGGATGGAGAGAAAGACTGCACGAACACGAGCAACAGCCCAAGCACTGCTCAACTCTGAGCCCCCATGCTAAGCCCTGACCTCCTAAACCCCCAGATCGCCTAAACCTGCAACCTAGTCTCGGTCTGGGAGAGATTTGTGGGAATGTTCTCCGTCAGCTTCGGCAATATGTCTGCAGCAACCTGCATCTCCTCGGTATTCCCGGTTTAGGGTTTACCCTAGGGCCGCAAAGGGGTTCCTGTTTGGGAGTACCTTCTAGAATTCCAAATATGAACCCCAAAAAGGAACCAATTTGGGGCCTTTGGGTAGGGTTCAGGGTTTAGGGGCTCTTGGTCAGGCGCTTCTACGGCTTTGGGTTGGGGTTGCTGCCTCCCACTTGGTCAGGCGTAATGCTTTGAGGGTTTGGGGTTTGTTTTCCATTTTCAGGTTAAATCTTTTTGTTGGGATTACGCGGGAGAAGGGGTTCTACATGTGCTTGTGGTCAGAAATTGGGGCTGACGATCCCTTTTTGGTTGTTGATTTAGGGGCCTGAATACCTAGAATCGTTTGTGGAACATATTACACCACATCGTACCACAAGGAAGCAGCTTCTGTCCCCAAAGGGTCCTATGTACTGTTATGGGGGGATACTTCCCGAGGTCATAATAGTAATTCCGAATATGGAGACCCTACATTCTACTATATCGGTACATAGGACCCTTTGGGGTCATGGTTTCTTTGTGTTGGCGGGTTCAAGTATACAGTAAGGCTGCTCAAGGGTTTCAAAGAGGATCGGTTCTGGGTTCACAGTGTTTCGAAGTCTGTCTACCCCACCCTAGGGCCGCAAAGTAGTTCCTTTTTGGGATTACCTTCTAGAATTCTAAATATGAACCCCAAAAAGGAACTACTTTGGGGCCTTTGGGTAAACCCTACAGAGACCCAAGTGTCTAAGGGAGGATCCGACGACCTTCACGGCCGCATGCAACTTGCTCTCTCAACTCAACTTCTCTGAACGCTTGCCCTCTGAGGCTGAAGCCTTCAGGCCGAAAATCTACTCCGGAAAAGATCAAAGACCCTTGCAGCCTTAGCCCCTGAAAGACCTGTTCTTGTTAGTGTGCCAGCCTTATAACATCTCGCAGCGTAAACAGTCTCATGCAGCGACCGTTCATACACCGGAGGCCAAGTCTCTCTTTGGCGTAAACGGCTGTTGGTACGATCTGCCTTCCGCATCTCTGCACATTCCAGCGCTCCTCGCACAGCCACTGCGACTTTTCTGCGTGATTTTAGGCTGTTGGGGAGCGGAAGTTACATCAAGGGCTTGGGCTTCACGGTGCATGAATGAATCCAGTTGCAGCCTGTCGGATCAAACCACACCCGGGAAGGATTCTCCCTTTCTAAGGTAGCCCGAGCGGGTCCTAGACTTTTACATGTCAGGAAATGCCCTCAACCGGAACTTGTCCAAGAGGTCAAAGCATAGCTTTTGCATAGCTACATGTGACAAGCCAGCCATGATTTCGTTTAGAAATTCGAGATTTGGCCCACTTACCACGTCCTTCTTTGAGCTTGACCTGCACGGAACCGTTGGAGACGTTTTGCAACTCGAAGCTGTTCTTTTCCGCAGCCCAGCTTGAACTCAACTTGCGAAAGTCTTTCAACCTCCAGCGATCTTTGGCTCTGCTCGCAGGTTCAGGGGTATGGAAGTACATGGGGGTTTCCGAAAATAGGGGACCCTAATATAGTACCCTAAATAGTAGGATCCTTATTATAAGGACCCCTAAATAGGGTACCCCCTATTTTCGGAAACTCCCACATGTGTATCAGTATGAGGGAGGGCGGAGGGAGATGCAGGTTTTGGGGGTGTGCGTGAGTCGATGGATGTGGTTGTTGAAGGCCACTTCTTGGCCTAAAAAAGCCCCCAGCCTAGGTCCTGCTGCAATGTTTTTCAGCGACGATACAGATAGAGAGAGAGAGAGAGTGTGTGTGTGTGGCCGTGTGTGTGTGTGTGTGTGTGTGTGTGTGTGTGTCTGGCATGTCCGTCGACTATGGCAAGTATGTACGCATACCTGTATCGTATATACAGTTGCATAGGACCTGTATACCTAAATCAATGTACATATGTACGTACATCTGCATAGTAAAAAGATTTAAAAAAGTGTATGTATCTGCATGATGTACAAGTAGATGTATATGTAGATGTTTTTGTATATGTGTATGTAGTATGCGTGTGTAGATGCATGTCTGCACGTACATGTATGTATGTATGTATGTATGTATGTATGTGGGACGCAAGTTAAGTCCTTCCGTTTGGCTCTCTGACAATGCATAGCTGAACGATGTTTCGCTGAAGGAGCGAACTAGCGAACTAGTGGAATCGCTGCTCACGGGGTGAAACCGCCATGCTTTCAGGATTGGTTCTTTAGTTGTTTATCTTCTCCTACCCTTCAGAATCCCCGGGCGCAGATACGCTGACGGGCATCGCGAGACCTTCCTCTTGCGGAGAGTGCGGGAGTATGCATGTACATATAAATATATATATATATATATATGTACGTATTACTACATAGCCTCTCTTCGCTCTGGCTGCTTCTACTAATTTCGCATGAGTTCTATTGGTGTCAGCATTGCCGAGCATGTGATTTGCTTCCTCCGGCCTGTGCAACTGGTGGTAATGGCAGTTGCAGTGGGGAACACATCTGGATGTAGCGACTGCAGCGGTGGTCGCGGCGAAAGCTACGGTGGCGGTGGTGGTGGTCGTCGCCGTACTAGCTTTAATGGTAGCTGATGATGCCAGCAGAGGTAACTGGTAAGTTAGCAGTGGTAGCAGTAATCCAGTAGTCTTCTTACCAGCAGCAGAAACAGTAGTAGCAGCAGTAGTAGTAGGTGTGGACGGTGTAGCAGTAGCAGCAGCTGTAGCAGTAGCAGTAGCAGTAGCAGTAGCAGTAGTAGTCGTTGAAGGCCTCTTTATTCGGGATTCACCCATGGGGCTGCAAGGCTCCCGGGGTCAAAACAAGCCCATGCGATCGGAACATGTTCCCTGCCTCTTCTCCAGATGCTGCACCACCTGGTGCGGCCAAACTGGGGGGGTTGAGGGTTGGAGGTTTTGGGAGCTTGCTAGCAGGAGCAGCGAGATAAAGAGAGGTCCAACATGATTTCCACAGGCTGACCGACAGGGCGGAAGGAGGGGGGCTGTTGCTACGAAAGATCCTGCATCGGTTTCTCGACACAGGTCTCTCCCCCCGCAACCCCCGAATCTTCACCCAAAGGAACCGAAAGGGCGACAGGCTCGAGTAGTAAACATCCTGCATGACCCGATGGCGTCTCCGACATTGAGATCGGGGTGAGGGGAGAAAACGCCGAGGGCAGCGCTAACACTGCCGCTGGACAGGTCATGCAGGATTTTTACCATCCACCGTAGGAATTGTGGTCCGACAGAGCGCTAGAAGGCTGATGCCTTTTGCCGTGCTGACCGTGACGTGCCGGGCCCTTCTTTCAACCCTAAAGCCCTTTACCTCTGCCCTGCCTCCTTCATATCAAGGTAGCCGCGAGCTGGCCCAGTCGAATCGTAGAGATCGTAAATGGCATCCTCAATCCTTTCCTGGGTTTAGGGCTTAGGGAAGCAACGAGGGGGGAAAACCGAAAAACGTTTGCTCATACCGGTTGATTCAGGGAACAGATCCACCCCAAATCTTAATAAAGCATCTAACTCCAAAACCGGGATTTCCAAACACCCTAAGCCTCAGCCCTGATGCCTTAAACCTTACCCCCCAATACCCTAAATCCTAAACCGGGTTTCCGAAGAGGTGAGGCTGCTCTCCGACTCATCCTCGGTCTCTTTGACTGGCGTCCTCTCGGACTTGTCCTGACCCAAACAAAGCTTAGCTTAAGGAAATATTTCACGAGTAGTAGTAGTAGTAGTAGTAGTAGTAGTAGTAGTAGTAGTAGTAGTAGTAGTAGTAGTAGTAGTAGTAGTAGTAGTTGTAGTAGAAGTAGAAGAAGTAGTAGTAGTAGCAGTAGTAGTAGTTGGAGTAGTAGTAGTAGTAGTAGTAGTAGTAGTAGTAGTAGTAGTAGTAGTAGTAGTAGTAGTAGTAGTAGTACTGTAGTAGTAGTGGTAGTAGTAGTAATAGTAGTAGTAGTAGTAGTAGTAGTAGTAGTAGTAGTAGTAGTAGTAGTAGTAGTACTAGTAGTAGTAGTAGTAGTCGTCGTCGTAGTAGTAGTAGTAATAATAGTAGTAGTACTTGTACTAGTACTAGTACGAGTACGAGTACTAGTACTAGTAGCACTAATAGTAGTTGTAGTAGTAGTACTAGTAGTAGTAGTAGTCGTCGTCGTAGTAGTAGTAGTAGTAGTCGTAGTAGTAGTAGTAGTAGTATTAATAGTAGTAGTAGTACTAGTAGTAGTAGTAGTAGTAGTAGTAGTAGTAGTAGTAGTAGTAGTAGTAGTAGTAGGTGTAGTAGTAGTAGTAGTAGTAGTAGTAGTAGTAGTAGTAGTAGTAGTAGTAGTAGTAGTAGTAGTAGTATTAATAGTAGTAGTAGTAGTACTAGTAGTAGTAGTAGTAGTGGTAGTAGTAGTGGTAGTAGTAGTGGTAGTAGTAGTAGTAGTAGTAGTAGTTACTAGTAGTACTACCTGTAGTAGTAGTAGTAGTAGTAGTAGTAGTAGTAGTAGTAGTAGTAGTAAAGTAGTAGGAGCAGCAGTAGTAGTTGTTGCTGTTGTTGTGCTTGTTGTTGGTTTTGGTGTACTTAGTTGTTGTAGTTATTGTTGTTGCTCTTACTCTTGCTCTTGCTGTGTTTGCTGTTGCTACTGGTGTTGGTGTGCATTGGAGGTGATGGTGCAGCTGTTGCTGTTGTTGTTGGTGGTGGTCGTGGTGCCGGTGCTGGTGTTGCTGGCGTTATTGGTGTCGTTGTTGTGGTTGTTGCTGTTGTTGTTGCTGTTGTTGTTGCTGCTGATGGTGTTGTTGTGACTGCTGCTGCTGTTGTTCTTGTTGCTGTTGTTGTTGCTGATGTCGTTGTTGCTGCTGTTGCTGCTGCTGCTGCTGTCGTTGTCGTTGTCGTTGTAAGTATTGGTGTTTTGTTGTCGTTGTCGTTGTTGCTGTTTTGGCTGTTGGTGTTGATGTTGTTTTGATGGTCGCTGCTGCTGTTGGTGCTGTTGTTAGCGGTGTCGTCGTGGTTGTGGTTATAGTCGTCGTTCTTCTCGTTGTTGCTATTGTTGTTTTGCTATAACTGCTCTTATTGTTGTTGTTGTCGTTGCTGTTGTCTTACTAGCATGATCATGGCAAGAGTTGCTACTATCCTAATGTATACTAAAGTCTGGTTACACGCACCATCTTTTGTACTCTTTCAAAAAGCCAAATAGGTAATTTTCAGTGATCAACAACAACAATAGGAATGATGAGGTATTGTAATAGTTTCCGATTTGATCATACGGCAATCTATCCGCTCCGCCCCCTGCCTATAAAAAACAACACCCGTAAACCCTTACAACACCCTATCTGGCAACGCAGGCCCCAAGCTTACATTTCAGGGATGGTAGGGTGTAGGGTTTAGACTTGAGGGTTTAGAGTTTAGGGTGGTCGGTCCTGATCCCACGGCGCCTTGGGCTTCTCTGCAGCCACCGGTTCGGGCGTGCGGAGCAAGCCTTTTTGGAGGTCTACCTGGCCAGGGTGGGGTTCGGGTTTAAGGTTTGGGTGTTGATAGTAAGGCTAGTGAAGAGCTCTAACGAATCATGAATGGCAGCAGGGACGCCTTATGAACCGGAGTCACTTTGGGAGTAAGGCTGCTTAGGTTTAGTGAGTGAAAGCAGTCGGGCTTGATTTGATCCCTCGAACGCGACAAACCTTCTGAGCCAAGATGCGCAGAGCCTCTAAAGACCCAAGTTCTTAACAAGAAATTAAAGATGGGACCCGACCCCTGCAAGACTCGGAGACCCTCATAAGAACCTCAAACCCTAGACCCTACGTTCCTAAGCCCCTTCCGTTTTGATCGCCCCCGAGCACCTGCACCGTCCCGCCGCAGGTTTTCCTCAGTGCTTCGAGCTCACGGTCGGAGAGTTAAGGTAGTTCCTTTTGGGGGTTCATATATAGAATCCTATAAGGTAATCCCGAAAGGAACTACCTTGTAGGCCGCTGGCTTATTACTTGTGATATTCTATCGCCTTAAATGGCAGTTTGCTAGGGTGTGAAGTTGCTTCCAAGAGGGACTGACGTGGTTTCGATGCTACAGCGGCATCCGGTGGTGAAACCTTGATGACCACAAGCTTTGCTACGAAACCCTGCCTGTGGCTGCGGCTCCAACTACCTTCTGTACGGGAGGGCTTAGGGTTTCGGGATGTACTTGGTGCCCCTCCCGGAAAAACAACAAGCAATAGAGGTCATACAGAACCTACTGGTTTGCAGGGCCTCAGCCGCCGGAGAAAAAACTTATCAGATTGAAACATGTTCCGCCACATGAACCAAAGAACACAGACTCTGCCCTGTTAGAACTTCCACGCGTGCAGATAGTGCATCTTTGCCGCTCATCGGCTGCAGTTTTCAGATGCTCCGTCCGATTCTTGCAAGAGCTTGGCAGCTTCTGTCGCGATTAACGAATCAAACCCTGGAACTACTCGAAGCATCAGGAACCCTAAACCCAACTCACGACGGGGAGAATCAGGAGCCCTTGACCTTGAGTCCCCGCCCAGGACGCTGAAGCCCGAAGCATCTTTGCTTTATTAATACTAGTATTAGTATTAGTTTCATATTAGGAATAGTAATTAGTTTTAATATTGATATTAGTATTAGTAATGATTCTTAACATGTCGGCTGGCATTGATACACCAACATACAGGGGCAGGCTTAAGGCTGCAGGGTTATGGGGTGTTTTGCTTCCAAAGGGCTTGAAGTTTGGGGGAAAGGGTATAAGGACAGGGCTGCATGGCCTTTGGGTTGTAAGTTTTGTGCTTAGGGTCTTAGGGTTGAGGTTAGAGGAACAAGGCTGCAGGTTCTTAGGGTTTGAAGCACAAGACTAGTTCTGGAGGGTTGTGGGGCTTGAAGTTCAGCCAGCACTCAGGATCTTTAAAATTTGGCCTTATTCACAGCCAAGCATCAGAATCATGGTCATGACCTGGCGGTGCATGCTGCTAGGGATTGGGCCCCAGGGCCCGAGGATACACTCTGTAATATAATGGTAACATGCACAATACAAGTATGATGGACCAAACAGGGGTACCTGGGCAGTCCTGGTGGCGAATCGGGAAAACAGCCCCCAACAACGCTCCAAACAGGCACACTAAGCCCACAACACTCAAATCCGATGGACGAACGAAGCAAATCTTTCGGGCTCAAGGCCTGTCACGGTTTGGCGACGAGCTATATGAGGTATATGTATTGACACTAGGGGTGTACGCTATAAGACTTGGTATTGAGGCTTAATGTTGGTTGGTAGGGTGTGGTATTCGGGCCCAATGTGAGCTTCTAGGGCTTCTGATACGGCGTATATCTAAACCCTGAACAGAATCCACGATGGAGTCGGCATTACGATTTCGGCTTTGGGGTTTTGCAAGGTTGATGTATCGCCAAGGGGAAGCAAGGCTGAGGTAGTGTAAGAAAGCTTGGAGTCAAAGGGACCACGGTATATGATGGGATGCCAAAAGGGGGGTTTAAGATTCTTGGGGTAGGGATTCCTTAATATGAACCCTACTATGGGAACCCTAGTCCCTACTAAACCCCCATATGCTAAAACCCCTTTTGGCCTCCTATGAGTATAGAGTAGAATAGGATCTTGTTCCTAGTTTTTGGTGCACAGAGCATTGTAATCATGAGAGGGACTGCATGGGTCCTGATTAATGCTTGGAAAAGGGTTTTGCGACATTGCAGAGTGTGATACAAGAAGGACTATGAATATACGAAGCTTTTAGCAATATTTACCCCTATACATATATATGTATACACAATATACATATAAACACACACATGGAAGCATACACGTGCTCACCCCCTCGCTCTCCAGGTACTGTATGGGACTGCTTTACTAGTTGCGATAAGAACTTTCGAGCATGTATGCCATCATATGCCTTGACCTACTTATTCTTCATGTAACTGGAGCCGTGTCCGTGGGGATTGCGGTATAAGGCTTCGGGCGAGGATCGTGCTGCCGAAGAGGGTCCCAGGCTTTATGACCCAACCCTCTATCCCCGTGACATCCTACCCCAAACCCTAGACCCTAAAGAACTCTAGTATGAGACAAACTCTGAATGATAGGTCAGGTTCCTTAAGCTCTAGTGTTTGGTGTTGTCTTCCAAGCCCCGGGCAATGACATGAAAGCTCGAGTCGTATGTTATAGAAAATATAACCCTCACAGAGGATACTTGTATCTAAGGTTTAGGTTTTTTTGACACTCAGTCTCGGACCTAGCCTGGCAAGGTCTGCAGCAATACTGGTCTGACTGAGTTTACACCTCGTTAACACGTCCGATAGGCTTCATCAGACGTTTCATGCTGTCAGACACCATGAGGATTTCACGCCACCAACAAGGTTTAGGGATGTCCTTGTCTGGGGTCCAACATAAGAAAAAGAGCAAAATCGCAAGACAAGGCAATGCCCGGCACAATAAACGGGCCTTGAGAAGTATAACTTGGGTCTGCCCCCCACCCTGCAACAGTCTATGTTCGGGGCCGTATTAAGGGCAGCATCTAGATATGTCAGTATAACTTTTGTTGTCGCAGGGAGGGGGTGCTATCCAAAGTATACTGGGTTTCAGGGGCCGGGGGCATGCACTTGTATAGGAACAGCAAGGAAAACTAAGGAATAGCAATAACAAGCCAAGCCTTAGACATAAACCCTAAATCCCAAGATCTTCTTAATGAGGGCTTAAGCAGCGTAAGGTCTTAGACCCGTCCGTAACTCAGACCCCACATGGGCCTCAACCAGCTCAGGCTAGAAGCCTGAAAAGTCTCTAAACCCTCAACACCCTACATAAACCCTTTTGCATCCAGGCCTATTGCGACTGCCGGGTACCCTGAAGAAAGAAGAAACACACAAGACATAATGCCTTGCATGCCTACATAAACCCTAAACCCATAAACCCTAAACCCTAAGCCCTGAACCCATAAACCCATAAACCCCGAAGCGGAAGGTTTCAGGTTTTGGGTTTCCCGGGATTCGGGTTCCGATTGCTGACGCCTTGGGAGCGGCCAGGGATGAAATGGAGTCATAGCACCAATACTTGGGGGTTCGGGGGACTTAGTAAGTAGTTAGTAAGTAGACTTATAAGCACCCTAAAAGGGACCCTAATTGGGGTTATGGTACTTATAAGTCCCGAGAATAACCAGTTACTAAGTCCCCCGACCCTCCAAGTACAGGGGGGTTAGCAAGCAAGATCGGGACCTTAATAATTCTTAATAGGGTGTTTTGGGGCCATTATACTATAGTCACAAAAAGAACCCCCAAAAACAAGTATCGGCTATTATTAAGGCTCCTATATTAGAGCAGCTAGCCTTCATAAGGTATCTATCGGCTTTTTATAGTGTTGAGGGCCTTATATAGCAGACAGATTAGCTATTGGGGTAGGATCAATTACGTATTCAGGCCCTTCCATAACCATGAGATTGCAATAGATGTTTTTTTCTGGTTTCTCTGTAGTGTCCGGACGATATCCAGCCGTGTCTTTTGGCATGCACAGAACCAACTGTCTAGCAACCGAACTTGTATTGGTTCACCGTGTTCGGCTTTAGGGTTCGGGGTTTAGGGAACCCGAAGACCCTAAAAAACCCTAAGACCCTAAGAACGATTTTACGAAGCTTTCGGAATGCCTAAAATGCAGCCGGCTGACGTCTGGAATCTCGTGCCAGTTCGCTGGCAAGTCCAGACCCGCCCTTTCCTGGGAGCTTTCTATGATTGGGGTCATTGGGGTCCATGGGTGTGTGCGGACTGACGTGCGCACAGAGCTTCTTCGTTATGCTTTGTCGGGAAGTTTACCGAAGTACATCTGTGAATGTATAGGAGAAAGCATATACATACGCACATGCATATAGCTCTTTTCAGCACGGGCTTTTGGTGTGTGCCAGCAGGCTGGAATATTAAGGTCTTTGCAAGACACCAGACAACTTTAATTTAGGTTTAGGTGTCCGGATCAGGGTCTCTGCAACGAGCCACATATAGCCGGAATTTTCCAGGCTCTTTACCCCAAACCCCATGGTGTTTCAACGTACATGTATCTACCCATATATGTATGTATACATATATATATATAAATATAAAAAAAATATGTATATGTATATATATATATATCTATATACACACACATCTTTGTATAGACATACACGATGCCGGAACCCCTTTCTCCCCCCCCCCCCCCCTTGCCGCTGCCCGCTTGGGCACCTGGTCTCTTGGCTTCGTTGTCTCCCTCCCTCCGGTGGTGGTGCCTCTGGTGTTCGCCATCTGTTAAAGTATGAAGGAACGCCGCCCCTCTCTGCAAGCTGAGTCTAAGTGCCCCAGCATGCCACCAAACAGGAGCTGCAATCTTGGCTGACTTGGCGCATGCTGTGCCGTCGTACTTACATTGGATTGGCTGCTGAGCAGCTACCAAACCTACACAGGTATGCTTACAGCTAGTCGTCAGAGTTGTAGTGTCATCCGAGTCATCCTTATCGTGATTGCTTCTACACTGGGGATAGCGGTTTTCCGTGGTTTCCGTTGCCCATGGTGACCCTGTCGCTGCGGTACAGCCGTCGCTCTGGTGCACTCGCGGAGCATTGCATCAACACCCGACGCCTCCTCCCCCCCGTGGTTTGGGTGGTGGGTTCTGTTTTGGTGCGAGTCGTGTTATGTAACCTGCACCTATTAACATCATAACCATGCAAAGCACGAATAAACTGCTGAGCGGCTAGCACACTAAGGCAGGGGAAAGTGTTTTCTACAGGGGTAGTTTCATACTTATGGTGATTGCTACGGTTCTAGAGGTGGTGATGTTTCCCCTTTCCCGCTGCGGATAGCGCCCCTGTCCCTGTAGTAGAGCCCTCGCTCTGATGCCGGGGCATGTCATACAGGGTGGGCCAGGGGGGTACCGGGTGCACAGTGCACAAACATAGATCTCTCTCTCTCTCTCTCTCTCTCTCTCTCTCTCTCTCTCTCTTTATGAATGTATAAGCATGTATGTATGTATGTATGTGTGTATGTGTCTGTATGAATGTAGGCATGCGTGCGGGTATGTGTGTCTGTATGTATGCATGTGGCTCTGTATGTATGTGTGCTTGTATGCATGTATGTAAGTATGTGGGTCTGTCTGTCTGTCTGTCTGTCTGTCTCTCTGTCTCTGTCTGTATGTATGTATCTATGTATGTGGGTATGTACGCATGTGTAGCTGTATATGTGTGTGTGTATGTACGTATGTATGTATGTATGTATGTGTGTGTGTGTATGTGTGTATGCATGCATGTATGTATGTATTTGTGCTCGGAAAAGAGTCAGTAGCTGACTATGTATGTATACGGACAGATAGATATACCGATATCCACAAAACTTATATGCGTATGCACGTATGT